GACACCCTCATACACATTCCCACAGACACGTGTCCTTGCACACATTTGCACACTCACACATTCCCAGCGACACCCTCATACACATTCCCAGTGACCCATGTGTCCTTGCACACATTTGCACACTCACACATTCCCAGTGACACCCTCATACATTCCCACACTGACAAGTGTCCTTGCACACATTCGCACACTCACATCATACATGGACACACATTTCCATGCTCACTCACATGCATTTGCACACACTGACACACATCCTCAAACACACCCGCACACTCGGGGGCTTCCTGGCTGCAGCTGTGTCCAAGGTCACTGTTCACGTTGCTCGGTGCTGACTCGGGTGGTGCCCACCTCCAATTCTCTAGCTCCAGCCCTGTCCTGCCGCAGCCCCCACTACCCTCCCACTGTCCCGGGACCTCTCACCTGCCCTGGACCATCCCACCCAAGGGCCTCACCCCAACTCCAGCTGCCGTTCCCCAGGCAGAGCCACCCCAAGACCTCCCAGCTCAGCCCCCTCCCCACCGTCCCTCGAGCCTCTCCCCGTTTCCCACCCTCCTGATGGCTGGTCCCCTTCCACCTGCTGCCTATTCCTTGGTTCCCTTTTCCTGGAGACTCTTCAATGTTTTCTACGTTCTGTCGTCCTTAAAAAACCCCAAAAACCCAACCTATGGAAAAGTCAAAAAGAGTAATTCAATGAATACCCTGTCTACATTTTCCAGTATTTATCACTAGCTGCTTAGAGATCATCATTCAAAACACTCCAGCAGTACTCCCACGGTGGCCTGCAGAACCCCGGGGTCCCCAGGACCCCATTTCAGGGGGTCTCCAAGATCAAAATCATCTCATTACCAAGATGTGATTTGCCTTCTTCAGTGCTGACATCTGCACGGAGGGTTCAAAAGAAACGCTGGATAAGGCTACTAGCACCTCGCCAAGAACTGTCCCGGCCTGGTCACCTTTACATTCTTCACTGCTATGCAGTCAGAAAAAGGAAAAAAGCCAATTTCACTTCACAATGTCCTCAATGCAGGAAAAATGAGTCAATTTTGACAGCACATGTTCTGTGTGATGTAAAGGATTTGTTGTGTACAGCTGTCTCCAGGAAAAGCATGTCTCTGGCTGATTATGTGAAAAGTGTATCCAGTCGCTTTTTCAGAAACTTCGTTTTCATTTGAAATGATTGACAAGCTACGTGATTAAGCCTTGCATGTTTGGAAGATGTGATTAAAAAAAAAAAAAAAACCAGGTGGGTGCAGTGGCTCAAGCCTGTAATCCCCAGCACTTTAGGAGGCCAAGGTGGGAGGATTGTTTGAGACAGCCTGGGTAAAATAGTAAGACCCCCATCTCAAAAAAAAAAGAAAAAAAACTTAGCCGGGCATGGTGGTACATGACTGTAATCCCAGCTACCTGTGAGGCTAAGAGGATCCCTGGAGCCCAAGTGGTCAAGGCTGCAAGGAGCCACAATCGGACCCCCGCACTCCAGCTTGTGTGACAGAGTGACATCCTGTCTCCATTTACAAAATTTAAAAATTACCAAGTGAGCCTTCTACTTCAAGGAAAACTGACTGTATTTTCTGCCCAACGATAAAACTTGAGTTTTTCAGCAACAATCAGAATGTTGTAAAACTTGTATCCAGTACCACAAGCTTGACAACTTCCAACTTTTGACTTTCATGATTGTTGATCAATATTTTAATATTAATGAAGTTTCAATATTTGAAAGATTTGCAGAACTCAGTTAAAAGGTATTTCCCAAGTAACTAATGCATAAAGTTACAAAATCATGCATGGGTTAAAGGTCCACTCTAGGTGAAAGATAGATGAACTCCACTGTAACTGAAGACAAGTTCACTGATACGGATCCTGATTCAACACTGGAACAAGCCTTTAAGAAACTACTGTCACCGGATGGAAGGTCTTGACAGTGCATTGTCCAGGTTCTTGGTGCAGTTGAACAAAGAACTGAACAAAACACACGAAGCAACAAAAGAATGAAACAACAAAAGATGCATCAAAAGTGCAGATTGACTGTAGCAAAACTACACTCCACAGAGTGGGAGTCAACTGGAGCCAGGCTAGAGTCCTCCTGTTTTAGTGAGCTAAAAGAATTTGATGCCGGGCGCGATGGCTCATGCCTGTAATCCCAGCACTTTGGGAGGCCAAGGCGGATGGATCATGAGGTCAAGAGATCAAGACCATCCTGGTCAACAAGGTGAAACCCCGTCTCTACTAAAAATACAAAAATTAGCTAGGCATGGTGGCACGTGCCTGTAATCCCAGCTACTCGGGAGGCTGAGGCAGGAGAATTGCCTGAACCCAGGAGTCAGAGGTTGTGGGGAGCGGAGATCGCGCCATTGCACTCCAGCCTGGGTAACAAGAGCGAAACTCCGTCTCAAAAAATAATAATAAATAATAATAATAATAAAAAATTTGGTAATACCCCTAGGTGCCCTTTAAAGGCCTCCAATTGGCTGCGACCAGAGGCTGGAGACTGTTTGGTTAACACAGGAAGGAGGCTGTGGCCTGAGTGCTGCCTAATCTTGCCCAGAACTGGCTGCACCTGCTGTTCTTTTGCTTCTGCCTTAGCCCTTGGTTACCCTAACTTCCTATTCTCCTGCCCCACAACCGCTACAGAGTTGGGTGGTGGTGTCAGGTACTCACAATTAACTGCAAAGATGATTCAAATATCCCCTTTTCCAATTACCTATCTGTGTAAGGCCAGATTTTCTCCGCATACTTCAACCAAAAATGTATTTAGGTCGTCTCTGAACAATGTTCTATAGTTTTCGGTGTAGACATGCTGAACATCTTTTGTTAAGATATTTTCCCGCCGGGCGCAGTGGCTCACGCCTGTAATCCAAGCACTTTGGAGGCCAAGGCAGGCGATCACCTGAGGCTGGGAGTTCAAGACCAGCCTGACCAACATGGTGAAACCCTGTCTTAAAAAAAACATTTAAAAAAAAAAAGGTATTTTCCTAGGTATTCCATGGTTTGGGTGTCACTGTAAATGGGCTTTATTTCATTTTCCAATTGTTTCTACTAGTACAAAAGAATGCATGCAGGGAAAGGATCTTCAGGCCAAAAAGACTAAGACTCAGTGAGCTAGTCTTTCAGTATAAACGTCAATTCTGGTGAACACAGAAAAACGTAAGCTTATTCTCAATGTTAAAATGACATGTGTGTGTGTATACATATATATATATAGAGAGAGAGAGAGAGACAGAGAGAGAGAGATGGAGTCTTGCTCTGTCCCCAGGCTGGAATGCAATGGTGCAATCTCAGCTCACTGGAACCCCCACCTCCCAAGTTCAAGCAATTCTCCTGCTTCAGCCTCCTGAGTGCTGGGACTACAGGCACGTGCCATCACGCCCGGCTAATTTTTGTATTTTAGTAGAGACGGGTTTCACCACGTTGGCCAGGATGGTCTCGATCTCCTGACCTTGTGATCTGTCTGCCTCAGTCTCCCAAAGTGCTGGGATTATAGGTGTGAGCCACTGCGCCTGGCTGACAACTGTATTTTCTAATTAATACAGCATTTTTTCTTCAAGTCCTAAAACCAAAAACAACTTGTCTCAAAGAAATACAGAACAGGCCGGGCGGGGTGGCTCAAGAAATACAGAACAGGCTGGGCACGGTGGCTCAAGCCTATAATCCCAGCACTTTGGGAGGCCAAGGCATTGGATCAAGAGGTCAAGGGATCGAGACCATCGTGGTCAACATGGTGAAACCCTGTCTCTACTAAAAATACAAAAAATTAGCTGGGCATGGTGGCACGTGCCTGTAATCCCAGCTACTCAGGAGGCTGAGGCAGGAGAATTGCCTGAACCCAGGAGGCAGAGGTTGCGGTGAGCCGCAATCGCGCCATTGCACTCCAGCCTGGGCAACAAGAGCGAAACTCCGTCTCAAAAAAAAAAGAAATACAGAACAGACAAACGAATGCACCTTCACACATCCACCACTCAGCTCCAACATCAGCTCACACCAACTGTGTGTGATCCGTCTCCACTCGTCAGGGAGTGTGGGCCCACTCACATTTTTATATTTCGATGCAAATTCCAGGCATGGTATTGATTCCATCATCACAACTTCCTTATATATCTCTAAATAAGAACTGAGTATATTGGTGTAAATGACTCTAAACCAGATATGTCAAACTGCTTCCATCCTCCGCTGAAGCATCAATATTGCCCTCCTGTAGGTTCTATGCAATATTTTTGTTCCTAAGCAGTCACATTCTGTCCAAAAATTTAAGACTAATCAAAAGTATGTTTAGTGTATTTTCAGAGATTCACTTAACGTTTTTCAGCAAATATTAACTCGCTCTAGAGTATCTGGAATATCTTAGAAAACAGCCCAAACAGGATGCCATCAAGTTTCATGTCTTAAAACCTCAGCAGTGTGGGTGGCTTCTTGGATCAGTCTGAGGCCAAATCTCAGTTCTAAGCTTGATTACTACTGTCCGCCATACCATGGGCAGTGGCCTGGACAGCACTATGCCTTCTCTTCCTGTTCTCAGTGTAATTTTTTCAAAACTTCCAAAGCTTAATGCTCCCTCATCATGGTCTATTAAGTTTTTACAAGAACATGCAAGAATATTGAATGTTTTAAACAACATACGTAGGCATGCCAGAATGGCTATTTTGGTGCTATTTAAAACTGTAATTTTCTTAAAAGGCCTAATTAACATTTGCTAAAACCAAAGAAGTTTACAACATTATGGTTGCTGTCTTTCATGAAAATCAGCACTCAGGCACAATACTGAACTGGCATGCAATTCATCCTTCCTCCACGGAGATTCGGCACTAACAGTGCCATAAAACTAGAGGAGAAACTCGAAAGTGGAAAAAACACCATATGAAGAGTGTCAGCAGAGTCCAGTAAAATCTTACAAGCAAAATGAAAACACAGCAGTCAACTTCGCCTCCCTTCCCATTCCTTCCACTGATATCCACCACCCCCGGCTGACCCCTCAAGCCCCAAGAGAAACCCCAGGGACAAACTGAGTGTGAGAGTTTTTTATTCCATTTGTGAAGGACAGTTTTAAAACAAAATGTTATTAACACTCTTAGAACACTGGTTTGTTCATTTGATATTTTCTCTATCTGCACCAATTTTTATTACAAAAATCAACAAAGTAAAAATTCATTACAATATTTGCACAGTATAACCACTAGTTGCCTAGACAAAAGCTAACTTCTACAAAATCAAAAACTTAATGCAGTTTTAGTAAGAGAGTCAAAATTCTCTCGGTTAACTGGATATATAGAGTGGTATATATCTTAGAGCAGAAAACCCCAGAAAACAAAACAAGGAAAAAAGAAAATATGTCAAAAGTCAGTTAAATATTTTGGCCTGACAATTCCTACAAATAGTAACTTCCACTAAATACAAAGGAATCTATTCTGTGTGGTAACAGTTCCAGAACCAAGCAGGAGATGTGGAATAAAACAGGAAATCAGAACGCAGCCCCAGGTGGGGCCTGTCTTCCATGCAGCCCAAGGCAGTGATCTCATCATTGAAGGAGAGTCCACTGTGTCTACAACTAAAACCTTCCACCACATGGCGATCTGCAAAGCTTAATGGAAAAGACAAATGTTCTTCTGTGCAGAAATCACTGCGGAAATCTTTGTAAGGCTGTACCTTGCATAGGGAAATAGCTGTGTTCTGCCAAACTCTACAGAAAACAGGAGAACCAAGCTTTTTAAAATGATGCCCATGTACAGAGAGAGAAATTACCAGGCACCTCATTTTCCACTCCAATTTATCTTGATCATATAATTTAATCTTTTAACAAAAGGGAAAACAGCAATATTTGGTGACAGTATTAAAAAGACAACGTTGAGACTGGCATCAGAAAAACTCCAAAAGTGCATCTTACAAAAAGGACACCTCACTGTCGAAACAGCTACGCGCTCAGTAAGCCCTACTCATGCACAAACAAGTACTCGCTGGGAGCCCGTCGAAGTTAACTTTTTCAGAAAGTTAAAGTATAAAAAAACGGTACAAATTGTGACATTCGTTCAAGTTGCTGCTACATCAGGATTCTGAGCAGGCTACCAGGAAGGACTCCTGCATTTCCGAGAGCCCGGCAGCATCTCTAGGAGCCGTGGTACAGGTGCATGGCGCCCAGCACAGCACTGTCGTACCGCTCCTGCACCTTCACGGAATTGGAATGCTCGACCACACTGTTCAGCTCTGGGAGGCTTTCAGCAGTGTCCCCAAACCCGTGGTAGTGTCCGTAGTACAGGTTATCCCCAATGTCTTCCACCCAGGAAGGCCTACTGGCTATGCAGCTACTTGGACTCCCATTCAGGTGCAGAGAACCACACAACTCAGGATTAGCTCTCACGGTCTCCTCCGGCTCCTCATTCCCACTAACGCAGACAGAACCCTGGCTACGCAGAAACAGCTGTCCTGGGGCTAATCCACTGCTAATTCCGTTAGCTCCTGTCAAGCACTGGCCATTCCTGCTTTCCATCCCACTGAGCAGGGTCGTGGAGGGGAAGTCCAAATGTCCACTGATGACACATCCATTTGTCAATGTATTCGATACGGAGCTAGTGTTTTTCATATCTGCATTAAGAAATACACCTGTCACCAAAATTCAGAACCAATGAGGCAGGAGAAACTATAAAATGCTTCATTGCCATTACCAGTTTAAAGAACTTATTTAGTTTCTTTTGTTTTCCTTTTAAACCAGTTCTTTTTTCAAAGTAAAATCAACGTGCATAGGTAGACTTAAAATTGAAATGTTAACAGCACTGTTCGCCTGGTAAGAGGAAAACTGGATGCGTGTCAGCAGCACCAGCGGCTACCCTGAAAAACGTAAGCTGACAAATACACTGCATGAAAAATACCACCACGGTCCCGAAGAGCCGTCAACAAAGTGCTCTCATTTTAATATTTTGAGAGCAGCTTTTTAAAATCGCCCCTAAAAAGATCCATCAGAACTGAATGTAGAGTGTTCTACGAAGGGTTCCAATAGAACACAAACTTCTCTAGTTCTCAAGCAAAAAGGGGAAAAAAGGTAAATCAAGTGGTGAATTAAGGAAGTTCTTTGAACTAGATATGACAGCATCATATAAGGTTTTTAAACCTCTCTCCTCATAAATCAGGTAAGGACTCCTGACCCTCCCGAGTCTCAAATCAGGACTGTTAAAAGAAACCACTTTTTTTTTCTTCAGTAGCACAGAAATCTACCTAGTACTTCTGCAAAATGCCACGAGAGCACTGGCAGAATACAGAGAAAGCGGCGACTAGAGCCAGGAACTGTGACTGCCAACAGTCCTCACGCACGCAGCCTGGGCCAACAGCACAACACGGAGTCGCTTCTTCTCAGTCCAGCAATTAAAATGACCATGGCAGCCAGGGTTTCATTTATTAGGTTACTTTCAAAAACCATCTCTGCTGGAAAAAATGTTGATAGTTTAATCTGCATATACAGACATCCATTAGGAGGGAGATGTCTTACGGGACAGAAAGTCCATTACGGAACATCTGGGCACATCAGGACAGGCAACAACAAGTTACTCTTCTGTATACTGCAACCTGAGAAGCAGTAACGTTCATATTCACAGGAATTCACATAACAGATAAGGGGTGACCTGAAATTATCTCTTGCTATACTAGTTTTTATCTCAATGTTCTTCGCTACCAAAGCAAAGCATGATATGAAATGTAGAAGAGCTCAGTTCTAATAACTTTTAGAATAAGGAGGCAGTTGCAATACATCTGATTACCCTAACGTGTCACACACCATGTGACTCTTCCCATGGAGGCCTCCCCTTCCATCTCACCTCCTGGATGCCTCCAACAGAGGTTTCTGTTATGCCCTGCAAGTCTTCCTGCCAAGGAAAGATCAGGCTTGTTCAGTGAATGAAAACATTATCTAAATATTCCATTCATTGTCAATTTCTTGGATATTTAAGCGACATAGTTTAATAATTGCTATAAGTTCTTCAAAGGACAATAGATTCATTTTTCCAAATTAAACCATAGCTTTTCTATTTGGTTAAAATCTAAGATTAGAAAATAAGTGTTTCAATGACAAAACAGAAATAAACAAGCTGCTCCCAGCTGGCCAAAACCCGCTTTCCTGGTCACCAGCTGCCTGGCCAGCCCTCGGAACCCACCAACATCCAAACACCACACTGGGGATGAGGTTTCAGGCAAGATCCTCCCTCCCTTCCAGCCAACTCCATAAAGATCAGGATTTAAGCAAGTACCTTCCTGCCTGAGTCCCTTCCCGGGGTAGGGACACTTGATTCTCCCGAGTCTCAAACTAGGGGCATTTAAAATACAAAGATGTCTGTACACAGTTGTTCAAAAATGTAAAATTCTTGAAGATAATTTTGGCAGAACAAAACTTCGAGTTACTCAGAAGTGTTTAAAGGAGAGCAGCCTGTCTTTCGGTCTGATTCTCAAAGGACTGTGGAGGAAGCTCCCTCAAGCTTCCAGTAGACGTGGAGTGCCATGTCCCACGAGGAAACCCTCATGTGATCTCTAGTGATTTAACACATTGTTTATTGGTCAGAGTGTCATAAATCAAATGATAGGAAACATGGGCTGTATGTACTTGACATCTGGTATACGAGATGGGCTGGGTTTTTTAAAAGTATGTTCCAGCTTGGATCGAGTTTAACAAGGAACTAATGTCTGAGGAATAAAGGTTGGCCACTTCTGCCTACTCAAAAGCAGGGAGCAAGGTCTTTTTCAAAAAACACAGGATTTGAGTTTTGTTATGGATCTTTAGCTAAGGTCAAACAGCCCCTGACTACAGAAAATCTATTATTTTAAATATGCTAACTGATCAGAATTTCCCGACTGAGAAAAAGGTGACCCCAGCAATCTGTGGCTTCTAGAAAGATGAACACGTTTTGAGTTATTTTTTCATGTGGGCTTGGGAAACAAAATACATACTTTTTTTTTTCATCCCCAGTGAAGAATTTTGCATAAAGACATAATAAATTAAAAAAAAATCTATTCCTAAATATATTAACATGTTAACAAAATGGAGAAAAATGTTTTAGTCACTTAAATAAAAGAACATCAGAAAAAAGCAACAGCTAAATAGACAAATCATTTTAGTTATTCTAAATGCTATAAGAACTGAGCTGCTTCTATCTTTTAAAAGTTGGAAATAGGAGTCCTGTTTTAATACACTAAAAACATTAATGTCGAGAATGTGTGTTGTGAACACAGTGTTTACCATGTTCACAGACTCAGAATGAAGGCCACGGAAACCAAAGCGACCAAGTCCTGTGTAAAGGATTCCATGCTGGGTGACCGGGCTGAGTCTGAACCACACTGCCTAGTTCTCAACGTTTACTGCTAGTCGTCCTCTTTGCAGTATATTGCTTTGAAAATATTAACCATAGCATGCTCGGTATATTCACCCAAAGGCCGTATGTCAGAAAATTAAAAATGCAAACCTCATTAAAAATAAGCAAGGCACATTAAGCAACAGCTTCAAATCAGAATAGAAAGATTGCACTTACATTTTTCGTGTCCATAGAATATACCCAAAACACTAATCCTTCTATCTACAAACTTAACCAAGATATGTAAATTATAGTATGACATTTTAAAAAAGACACTGAACCACACAGTGCAAAACGTCTGAGAGAAACTGGTGTCAGAAATAATACGCATACTGATTCTTGCAACGACAGGGGGTCTGCATTGCTGACACAGTATATATTTCTATTTCTTTTGGTCCAACAGAACCACTCTCCTGCTGTTTGGTGTCTTCGACCATTGGATTGTTGTTGCAGCTAACAGGAAACTGTCCACTCCCACCTGTTACAACAGCAAACTCCCTATCAACGTGCATTTTGTCAGCATCGTCTTCTGTGTCGCCATTCATGAGTGGCACGGCAGAATCCAAGCTTGGAGCTGTACAGAAAAAAAAGACGATTTCAGATTCCTTTGTCTGTAATGAGATAGCTGCTGGGTCATAACAGTTTACATTCCTCTGTGTGAGCACTGAACACTCTAAAACAGTCACATTAAAAAAAATTGACAGGTCACAATGAGCTTAGCACATGACTGAAAACTTCCATAATAAAAAAATTCCCTGACATGTGCAGAGTTTGAAGTCATGGAATTTCAGATACCTATTATAGATTTACTTGATGGCAAAAATTCTAATTTTTTGGCCACTGAGAGGACATAAAGTAGTTATATAACCTGGAAACAATTCTAAACTCTGTTTTCAAATTCAGCATGTTTTTTGAAAAAAAAAAAATACTAAGACAATTTTAAATCCACATACAATTAAAACAATTCTGATTTTTTTTTTTTAATTCACTATTTCCAGGATTCCATGTTTGGATCCCCTTCCACGAACACTCTAGTGGAAGCCATCTTTCTCTCTCCTGGATTTTCCCTCTTGGGTCCCCTTTCACACTCTCGTGGAAGCCTGTCTTCCCCTCCTAAATTCCATCTCTCTCTATTCCCTTCCACTCAGTGTAGAAGCTGCTTTTCTCTCCTAGATTCCATCTTTCTGGATTATCTCACTCAGTGTGAGAGTCAACCGTTCCTTTCTCTCTCCTTCTCCTGTTTCTTTCTCTCTGTAAATAAATCACTTTCTACAAACAAACAAAAATTTCACTATTTCCATTAACAAAAAATAAGGTAAAGGCTGAGATTCAAGACTAATCCGTCAGCACTGTCCCAGAGTGATATTTGACCTGAGCACCAAATTATGGAAAATTATCACATCAAAATACAGAAAACATTAGAAACGGGAAGCTAAAGCTACCCAGGCACTTCACTTACAAGATTACCCTTCTCTGCACTGCGATGTGAACGGCCCATGTCATACACACCACACAAGAACCTCCACTTCTGATTCCTAGCAAGACTCACTTCTTACAAGCGGCTCCACCTGTCTGAACAGCTTCTAGTGTTTAAGAATCTTTTTACAAAAACGGATTTGAACAATCACAGTTACACTTTGCTTTATTCATTTGCCATGGCATGTCATATCGGTTAATGTAGAAATGAGCTTTACTCTGTCATACGGCTGGTCACAATTCACCTAACCAAATTCCCTGCAGCTGTCTGGGCTACTTCAGTTTTCTTTCCTATCATGAATGTCACAATTAACATACTCATAAATACATCTTTGTGTGTATTTCTGGTTAACTCAGATACTTAGAATTATTTCTGGGCCAAAGAATACACACCACGAATAGCAACTTCCAGTGCTAAATACCTCTTTCATAGAAACATTTAAAAAGAGGGAGAATGGAACTTTGCAGCTTGAATTAGCTCTAATTTTAGAGGCACACGAGTCATTTTTGATTATACTGTATATACTAGTTCTGGATTATTCTACAAAGATGCTAATGTACAGAATGAGAAACCTGATTTCTAAATTAGTATGTGGGAGAGAAACAAAACAGTGTGATTCGTGTAGTTTGGAGGGGGTAGGGAGGTACTCAGAAGTCTGAACAGGTAGGATGCCAAAAGCATTCTTCAAATACAGGTCCTTTAAAACCACAGGCATTAAACGGTGGGTTTTAGTCTTATCTAGTTAAAGCTTTAAGAAATCTTCCACAGGCCAGGCTTCACTTTTACTGTGACTCAGGCACACACTTTTAAGAAATCAGTGGCAAGCAGGACATCTTTTGGAGAAAAAAAAAGGGTGGGGAGGGGTTGGTGGAAGAGCAGATCCCCACAGCGTGCTGGGTGTCAGAGTCCTCCCAACGCCAGGAGCCCTTTACGGCATGCAGACGGAAGCTGCAGTCAAGAGCAGGTCAGTGTTCGCTCCTCCCACGGGCTGCCATCCTGCAAAGCCAACCATGAACACGGTTTGTACCAAAAGATGGACTTTATGGGAATACAGTGCAGACAGCTTAAAACACCTACACAGTCAACTGGCATTCAGATGCCAGTGTTCCCCGATAAAGCGGCAAAAGAGGTTACTGCAATTTCACACCTCCAACAAGGTTAGAAAACCTCAAAGGAGAAGAGCTTCACAAAAGCTGGGTTATTTGCCTTCTCTTTCACTAGGCCCAGTGCCTAGACTAGTTCTATTAACAGATGAAGCCCACTCACTAGCCAGAAGAAATAAAAACACAAGGTAAACAAAAACAAATGATTCGTACCTGGTCTAGCCTGTAAAACAACCTGAGGAATCACGGCCATCCAGGAAGGCCTGGCAATGGGAGGTGCAGGGACGCGGGCCCTGAGGGCAGAGGCACCACTAGGGGGCTGGAAGAGCCGCGGCAAGGTCAGCCCAGGAAGAGGAAGTGGGCAAAGCACTATCTCCCAGCAGCAATTAATCCTGTTAACTAGAAGCCTCGCAGTGACCAGGAGCCTCTCAGAAACGGCTCCATTTAGTAGATGCATCTTTTGTTAATGCAGATAGTTTCTCTAAGAAAGCATGGTCACAATGAAAGGCTTCCTTCCATATTTTACCAATCAAGATTCCATTGTGGGAATCATGACATCACACATCCTAGAATTACATTCCTTCTCCTTAGATAAAGCCCCTCTATACAGTGTAGTTCCCACAACCAGCTGTCCCAGAGCCTTGGGTAATGCTGTTTACCTAAGTGCCTTCTTCATTTCTTCATTCCTACTGTAAGTTCTCAATTGGCCGGTGGAGGCATTAAGCCTGCAATTGTTTCTCTTTAAATTGTTTAAAGCCATGAAATTAAAATTGGCCTCTCAAAATTTTATGGATTTGGAACTGTTTCCTCCCACACACCTGTTCCCACTGCTGAAGGCATCATTTAAATGCTACACCTTGCATTTGAGAAAGGTGGCCTGTACAGACATTTCAGAAAAAGTATCTCCTAAGATCGTCAGTTTTTACTGTTTGTGAAAGGAAGCACTATCTTTTCCTATCGACTCTTAAACAATGATTGAAGGCTTCTGAAAATGTCAGTATGACCACTTTTTACAAAGGGTCCTTACCTACTGACTGCAAAAGCAGGTGTCTGTTGGGAAGACAGGCTTCTAGTACACCTAAGACACAACGTTCAGGGTGGAAAACTACCTAGCTCAAAACCTCCAGCCTCACTGCTAAGAGATACAGCCACACCCAACTGTGGTCACTGCCTGCCCTCCTAAGCGAGAACTGGCCAGCAGAGCACGGCTGACTGAGAAACCTGCATTCCTGCCCCTGGGGGACACAGGGAGATGCTCCACTTTGGGCTGACACTCAGGGCAACTAAACGGTTTGCATTTGTATTTTCATCTGAAATTTGGGGGTTGCACAAAACCCCTAAAGGCAGTTCCCAGTAACTGTAACTATATGAGCTATTCAGGATCAAACAGCTTGGAACCATGAAAAAAAAATCTTAGTTTCAAGAAGGTCTGCAGCGTTACAGAAGGAATGCAACTGGACACCAAGGTGGTGCCACAACAAAGGCTTGTGGGAGTGCTGACCAGGTGGGAGTTAAGACATGCTGGTGCACAGCTCATACTGAAGCACAAGAGGACTTTAATTGCCAGGCACACCTGCAGATACATCTGGGGCTTAGGAAAAATGCCTGATCATAGCTTTAATCTTCACAGCTTAAAAAATAAAAATAAAAAAGGCACTCTAAGCAGTCATGTATTTTAAGATACAGGCGCTCTAATTAGTTAACAGGACATTACTACCAAGACCTGAGCCATACTGGTTATATTCCCTAAGACTAAATAAAGCAGGAGACATTTTACAAGTCAAAAACTGCCAGTTTCACACAACACATTTAAGTGAAGCTTGGGATTGTGACCTACATTAGTAATCTACCTTTTACCGTGCCTCTGGGTGCTGTAAGGGGATCAGGTGTTGATCCAGGGCCCTCCGGCCTGTGGCCTTTTCACTGAACTGAGCGCATCCCGCTGTTGCTTCCACTGGGGAAGCCTCAATGTCCTCTCATTAAAGGGAAGACGCTCTGCCTTCATGATTTCCCACCAGCCATTCCCTACAACTGTTCTTTATTCTGCTGTAGAGCACATTTTACTCAACTTTTTTCTAATAAAGGCCCTGTTAAAACCACGTTTTTTTTTTTGTATTACAAGGCGATCTTTCGTGGGACCCGCCAGGGCCCACATTCCAGCAGAGCAGAGGGTTGGGATGACTCCAGGTAACGTGAAGCAACAAAGGACGGAGGAGGGCAGTGAGCCCTGTGGAAAGACCGGGGGTTTGGCTCCAAGAATACACAAGTGGCTTAAGTGTGCCAGTCTTGGTTTTGCTTCCCACTGCCGTGTCCACAACTGTGCTGAAGACAAATCAGGCCAATGAGGCTTGCTCAACGTAAGACTTTCAGTGGAAAATGCAGACACTGCCTGGACTGTAAGTGTAATTCAGACTGTATTTTAAGATGTTATGTCTTTAGGGATATCACAGCTCTAGGGATCAAGAAAAAGATCACTCATTTGAACAGAACTAGGTAGGTGTGTTCTGTCATTCTGGCCAAATTTTTATAAGCAAATATACTGGCAATCTGAAAAGAGTAAGGACCTCAGCAGTAAAGGTGCTATAATATATAACTAAACTAGAAGGAACTAAATCACAAATTTACTCCTGGGAGGCATTTTATTTTCTGACTCTCAAGTGTCAAGCAATTAACATTATTTAACAAACCTGTTGGTCATCTCCGCCCTCCTTTACCAAGTCTGTAAGCCTGCTCAACACCAACAGTTAAGGACAGAAGGCAAGAGATACTTTAGGTTAAATCCACTCTAGGGAAAGTGTTAACATTTTCCACCAGTAATTTTACCTTTAAAGCATCATGTTGCAGATATTTTTTTCTATAAGGTGTTTTAATATTCAATAGCATCGGAGTATGAATGCGATTCTAAGATCAATAATCTATGTGATTAGAACAAGGCTGTGTGACACCTGAGGTCTGCTGTCACTACAGCCTATTTCTAGGGCAATTGTCCCAATTATGAAATCGAAGTTATTGGGTCAGCTTTTAAACTCCCACTGTATTCCCCTGCTTCTTCCCCGTGACTCTGGAGCTCCATCCAAAACAAGTACCAATCAGCAAAACGAAGTTTTCACTCATGGAAGGGACGGGCATTCTTTTCGAACCAGGATCACTGAAAAACTTGACGAGTTTCCAAGGAGTATATATAAAAATAATTGCATTGGGTTATTTCCCAAGATTAACCAAGAACGCTAAGAAACCTGAATTGAATTTTATACAGAGTGGTACAGCAGGAGTCTCAAAGCCCATGCATCATACCATCTGAGCAAATGGCTGATAAACAGAAAACACACAAAAAAATTTAATGACTGACACTTCCTCGAACCATCTAAAAGGAAATAAATCCCACTGGGGAAAGTATTATCCCAAGGTACTTTCCATCAAAACAAACTGCTTAAGTAACTGGATTTTATTTCACTCTCCAGAGTTCATGTCCACACTTATGTCTATATTCTGATTAAACACATTTAATACAGATGCAAATAACTTTATGCAAGTTAAAAGTATTACTTCTTGTAGCATAACTTCCTTCCAAAGGAGTTAATATTCAAGAACTACAAAAGGCAGTTTTTATTGATCACCTAACATCATCTACATCAACATCGTTTCCAAAAGAAAATTACTCCAGTTTCAAATACTCAAAGTAGTTTACTAAAAGCAGAGATACTTTTTGCAGGGAAGAGTAGTTAATATTCAGACTCATGATTCCAGTTTTGTTTTGTTTTAACTTTTTACATGTTGGTCAGGATGGTCTTGACTCCCGACCTCAGGTGATCCAGTGTTTTTGCTTTTTAAATGAATTTACAGGGACATCCTTATGGGCTGACTTTGGAAACTTTCTGGAAGTAATTACTTTTACAAATTCCACACTAAAATCATCAATATTTATAACTCTTAAATACTAGGAAAACAGAACGGACTATTTTACTGGTAAGATCCAAGCTGGCATCTCTATGCAGCCAAGATATTATCCCTGGCACCTTTAACTTTTTTTTAAGAGCCAAATAAATAAATAAATAAAACCTAGCTTAAACTTTTTATATTTTTATATGTGAAGTTACTCAAAGTATTTTATGTGCATGTGTTAAATGAGAAAATAATTTATCATATTTTTATATGTGAAGTTACTCAAAGTATTTTTTAACCATGTGTTAAATAAGAATAATTTATCATATTTTTACTCTGGCATGAGAACCAAAAACCTAATAAATAACTCAGATTGAGCAAAACTTAACACACACACACTTAAACAGAAAATCAAGATGCCAGAAACTACAATCAAAACAAACTAGAGCAACATATCTTTAATTTAAAACTGAAAAACTGGTCAAATAATGAAAATAATTATGTATCTACTGAAACCAATAACAATTTCACATAGAATATCCGGGTAATTGAGAAAAAAAACCAAAACCCTGTTTTAATGATCAACAATTACTCCCAATATCTGACATACCACATTCAGTATGTAATGGTAAAAGGTGGGGCGGGGGGAGGGAAGCACCCTTCCCATAAAGAGTGTGGTGGGAGTATAGGTGAGCTGAAGATGATGAGCCTATCAATGCTCACACGAACACAAAATAAAGTAATGTAAACACACCCTTGTGACATGTGGGGCAAATCTAAGGGCTGTCAACTATGTAAAAGACTGAGCCACTAGAAGTTCCAGGGTGTTAATAGTTACAGTATACACACTGGGAAAATCAGGGAGGAGCAGCTTTCAGGTAATGTGCATCTTGGCTTAAATATTTCTACTGTGAGCATCACAGAAACATCAGTCACTTACTATGTACTTGGAAGAGTGGCTCAACCTGTCCAAGTCCTCAATGTGTTAGTTCTGCCTATTACGTTAACTCATAAAAACCCTGAATTGGATAAAACTGGTAAGTCTATATATTACTACAAAAAGTCTTTTATCACAGGAATTTTTATGGTGACAAGATTTAAACAGTTGTCAAGTACATAACATTGACATTTTATCAACTTTATAGGGAAAAAATGCTTCAACACATTTAAGGTAGAAAGCATGATGTTTCATAAAATTTAAAGTTAATTAAAACCTCTAGATTTTTAAGTGATTTACTGACAGCCAGTTTTCCTCATGCTATAACTAGTACAGTTGATTTAAAAAACAAAACAAAACAGGCAAAACTTTGTGCTTATCCTCAGCAAATCTAAACTCATATCTGGTTCATTACACTCCTACCTCTTTCCCTTTAGGTTCATTAAACATTCCTGCCAAGCTATCACATTTGTCTTCTACTAAGACTTTTGTTCTTAAACTAGAGATGAGGTCACACTGTGTCACCCAGGCTGGTCTTGAACTCCTGAGCTCAAGTAATCCTCCTGCCTCGGCCTCCCAAAGTGCTGGCATTATAGGTGTGAACCATGACACCTGGACTAAGACATCATATATATAGCTACAGATGATTTTCCTATAGGAAAGGGAGGTGTTTCCAACTTCAAGAGTGATTTGCTGACTTTGCTTATTTGCAAACTCCAAAATTACCTTTTTAAAAAAAAAAGGGCCAAGCCCAGTGGCTCATGCCTGTAATCCCAGCACTTTGGGAGGCTGAGGCAGGTGGCTCACTAAGTCAGGAGTTTGAGACCAGCCTGGCCAACATGGAGAAGTCTCTCCTCTACTAAAAACACACAATTAGCTGGGTGTGATAGCATGCAACTGTAATCCCAGCTACCTGGGAGGCTGAGGCAGGAGAATTGCTTTAACCTGGGAGGCAGACGTTGTAGTGAGCCGAAATAACACCACTGCACTCCAGCCTGGGTAAAGAGCGAGACCCCCCCCCTTTTTTTTTTTTTTTTTTAAAAAAAGGTGGAAATATACTTAACAAAAATAACTTACCTTAGGGACTTAAATCCTCAACATCAAATTATACACCAGATCTTGCAGTGATAAATGAACACATATTACCATGTGGGGTACAGAGACCACCTGAGTTTGTAAAATCACAGCACAGAAATAGTACAGAAAACATTCACCTTCCCGAATGTGAAAATGTCTTACTGCCAGACCATCAGCAATTTTTGTAAGCCCAGGAACATTTAGAACCAAATTAAAAAAAAAAAAAAAAAAAATCAGGCACAGTGGCAGATTTTCTTTAATAGACATATTTCAAACAGATACAACAAATTAAAAAATCTAATTCACGGTAGGTAAACATAGTTGCTCAATAGGTTCTACACAGACATTCATATCTGGGCTGTATTTCCCTCACATCCCCTTTTGTTAAGTGTCCCATCTTCACAGTGGCAGTACAGGAGAAATCTCCACAGTCACCACACAATCCACCAGGCACAATTACCAAAGTGAAGGTCTCATCTCGAAGGTGCATTCAGCCATAAAAAGAAAACACATTAAGAGGGAAAAGTCAGCATGCTCTTCCCACCCACAGCGGTCTCACCTTCAGTTCTAGCTTTCTTTACTCCAAAGGCTTCCGAGTCCTCCAAGCATCTCTTTCGATTGGTTCCCACACTAGTATGATTAGGAAATACATTCTGATGACCCCCATTTAAGATGCCATTGTTATAGAAATGGTTCAGATGACAATTCTGGAGGTTCAAGAGAAACTGGGCACACTCTTGGAAACCCTGGGTTTGTGCAATGTCTGCTGCTGTCAGGCCACTGGCATTTCTCAGGCTGTACAACACAAAAACACTGAATTACACCCCATCCACGTGCTCACCTGGTCTCTGCTCCTGCTGAACTGACTAGCTATCTGAAGGTGGTATGAAAGAGTAAACAAATTCATAGCAAATCTTCATTAAAGAAGTAGTTAATCAATCTAGCTCTGTAACTAACTTCTCTTACACACATTTGATTTCTAAGCAAGATTTGGGAGATAATTTTAAAAAATAAATATGCTAAACTTTTAAAAAAGACATCTTCCTATTTAACTTCTCAAAATCATGTTTTATGTTAGTCTGAAGAATCTAAATTTATGCTAACTTCAGACTAAAACTGAATTCTATATTATCTGCACTGAATTGTAATAACCCATTCCTTTAGCGTGAATAAAATCATAACAAACAAACATGTACTGAAATTGTCCATGGCATTCATAACTGTCTTCCTAAAAGCAAAAGTAATGGCTTACCAACAAGCCAGACTTTCTGCTTACATGTGACACTGTAAGTGGAAGTTCAGGAGGATGTCCTGACATTTAAGTACCCTATCACTGCACGCTGAATACACATCCCCACCGCTCACAAGAACCAAGCTTTTACCTGGCTAATAATACTCAAAGGAAAGGTCTGGGACTTCTATAGTAGCTAAAACTCCTAGGTAAAGTAGGAGGTGATGGCAGAGTAAGTGAAAGAGCTGAATAAAATAGAGTAAGTTGAACTTGTAAACCTTTAGGACACTGAATTAAACTGAGGGATCAAAAGTAACTCCATGGTGAAGTTCCCCTGGAAGACAAGAATGTACACTGCTCTGTGAAATAAACCTGTAAAAAAGCAGACATCCTGTTAGCTGCAGGTTGATAAACAAACTGGAGAAGTACGTAACAGCAAAGACAGCACCCATACCTGTGCAGCAAGCTACACGACATCCACAGCAAAAGCATGATGAAACAAAGGCCTTATGCTGTGTCACTCATCAAATAACCAATCCAGAACCCTGATGCTTTTCTTGGAGTTACTGTTAATGGGAAAACAACAAGACCAAAAAAAACTAAAAAACAAAAAAACCAAAACAATAACAAAAAACAACCTGCATTTAAGAATGAAAACTACAGAATTAGGGACAAATAATATTATCCTATTTATAAAGACTAATAGGCCGGGTGCGGTGGCTCACGCCTGTAATCCCAGCGCTTTGGGAGGCCGAGGCAGGTGGATCACAAGGTCAAGAGATCGAGACCATCCTGGTCAACAAGGTGAAACCCCCGTCTCTACTAAAAATACAAAAATTAGCTGGGCATGGTGGTGCGTGCCTGTAATCCCAGCTACTCGGGAGGCTGAGGCAGGAGAACTGCTTGAACCCAGGAGGTGGAGCTTGCGGTGAGCCGAGATCGCGCCATTGCACTCCAGCCTGGGTAACAAGAGCAAAACTCCGTCTCAAAAAAAAAAGGACTAACAATAGCCTTGTATTTGTATTTCCAGCCATCATAAAAAGCTCTGACCTCAGAAATGAAGTGTGTGGACACTCACTAACCATGTCCCTACTTTTTAAAGCATAAGATAAACCGTATTATACATTTTGAAAGAAGATCTAAATCCTATTTCATCAGATATAAAAGAGAATTGAGAATCTCAGAAACCAACAAAATTCTTGATGAAAATACAAGGCAGCTGTGTGCAGGACTATTAGAGACTGAAGTCACTTCTGTTAGCCGCAAGACTTCATGGCTGTGAATGAATGATGAATACTTTCTAGTATTTCATCATCTTTTTATTTTGGTTATGAATTAAATGGAAAGAAAGCACCAAAGTTTGGGCAGATTGAATTACACTAATTACACTTGTACAAAATCAGATACCTTGTTATTGAAATATAGAATACACTAATATTAAGTGATAGCTTAATCATACAGCTGAAGTTTTTTTTAATGCTGTATTTCACTTTCAAACGGTATCAGAAGAGCAGATGACCTGGGAAGGTCAACTCTGCCAAGAAAGTGAACAGAGAAGTCAGTGGCCACATGAAAGTTCAAACTCTGAGGAGAACATACATTTATAAACGGATTATTTCTATAGATAAGCAGACTTGCTCTCCAAAGTCGAAGAAGAGAAAAATGAGAAGCTACCACTTACTATTAGGACAAATAAAAACATAAAACAAACCCACAGTAAAGACTACCCTTTAGTGGACCAGAGAATAAAAAAAAGCTCACTGATTCTTGAAACGGCATTTAGAATCATAAATACCATGCCAGGCACGGTGGTTCACGCCTGTAATCCCAGCACTTTGGGAGGCTCGAGGTGGGTGGATCACCTGAGGTCAGGAGTTCAAGACCAGCTTGGCCAACATCATGAAACCCCGTTTATATTAAAAATACGAAAAATTAGCTGAGTGTGGTGGCACGTGCCTGTAGTTCCAGCTACTTGGGAGGCTGAGGCAGGAGAATCACTTGAACTTTGGAGGCAGAGGCTGCAGTGAGCTGAGATCGCACCACTGCATTCCAGCCTGGAAGACAGAACACAAGACTCTGGCTCAAAATAAATAACCAGTGCCAACATATGGAGATTCCTAGACACTGTCAAGTATGAGAGTGTTAGCCTACACACAGGTAGCAATGGTAAGCTCTCCCACTTCACTTTTTTCCCTCCCAAAAGTAGTTAAACATGTGCTTGTCCTCTACTTAGACTGACCAAATTTCTTGTGGTTTTATGTACCATTCCAAAACTTACTTTACTACAAGAGCTCAAAAGGATTACGACCCACTCATGCTATGTACTTGTACGTTAGGAGCAAGCAAGCAAGAATAATCACAGGTCAAACAGCTTCTGGCATGTCACATAATTTGGGGGCAGACATGCTGGGAAGATGAAAATTCTAGAAAATGTATTGGACAGGCATCACAATCTAGGACACATGGTAACGGTGGAGTTATTAGAGAAAACTGGAATCCTGCTCAACATTTCCGTGGCAGTATCTATGCAGCATTATCAGAAACAGAAATATCTAGCACCCCTTCTCTGCTTCTAGTGAGGTACAAGAACATTTCAACTCTATCATTTCCCTTGTTACCAAGGGCTGAATGTATACAACATACAGTTTAACTTGAGAGCATTTAAATTCTACTCAGAGGAAATCTATTAGTATCTGACTCCGAGACACAACAAAAAATCACCACCATCATCTCTTGCCCCTGAACGTCCCCATTCTCATTTCCTCTCGTTCCCTACATTCATCACCTCCACTGCCTCTGCTCACATGAAAAGCCTTGCAAGTGGTGGCTCAACTGCGTAGTGCACATTATAGAAACCGGCCTGACGTGATCACTAAGCATCACCTAATCCAGAAGAAGGCTCTTTTCTAAAAAGGACTGTGCAGTAAATATTTTAGGCTTACATTCTCAGTCCTAACTACTCAATTCTTTTGATGTAGGCTGAAAGCAGCCTCAAGACAATTGAGCATGGCTATGCTCTCATAAAGGTTTATTTATGAATACTGATATTGAACTTTCACCTAATTTTATGTGTTAGAAAATATCATTCCATTGATTTTTGCTCAACTATTTAAAAATCATTCTTAGTCCATAGGTTATACAAAAAAAAAGGCAGCAGGCCAGAACTGCTGAATAACATTTAACCAAACAGACAATACTGTAAATATTCTTCTATCCTTTTTAATATTTTTAAATGGACATATTGTTATGGGGTACACTATAAATTCCAATAAAATATATAGGGATAAAAAACAGCATAATAGCATATACATCCCCTCAAACACTTTTCATTTGTACTGAATTAGCAATATAAAAATATATCAAAAATTACAGTTAACCAGTCACCCTACAGTGCAAGGTAACCCTAGAACTTATTCTTTCCATCTAGTAACCACTCTTTTAAAGAGACAGAGTATTTCCCTGTTGCCCCAGCTGGAGTGCAGTGGCACAATCACAGTTTACCACAGCCTGGAACTCCTGGGCTAAGGGATCTTCCTTATCCTCAGCCCCCTGAGTAGCTAGGGATACAGGCATGTGTCACCATGCCTGGCTACTTTTTATTTCATTTTTATTTTGAGAGAGATGTTGCTCAGACTGGTCTCAAACTCCTGGCTTCATGCAATCCTCCCACCTCAGACTCCTAAAGCACTGAGATTACAGGCATGAGCCACTCTCTACCTCATTGTTTGTTTTTTTCTAAGATGGAGTCTGGCTCTTGCTGCCCGGGCTGGAGTGCAATGACGCGATCTCGGCTCACTGGAACCTCAGCCTCCCGGGTTCAAGCAATTGCCCTGCCTCAACCTCCCAAGTAGCTGGGATTACAGGCATGCGCCACCACACCCAGCTAATTCTGTATTTTTGGTAGAGATGGAGTTTCACCATGTTGGTCAGGCTGGTCTTATACTCCCGACCTCATGTAATCTGCCCAGCACAGCCTTCCAAAGTGCTGAGATTACAGGCGGGAGCCATTGCACCCAGCCACCACTTTCCACTTCTATGAGCTCTTTTTCAGCTTCCACAAAGTGAGCACAGTACTGGGAGTATTTATCTTTCTGTGCCTGGCTTACTTAATATAATGTCTTCTAAGCTCATTTATGTTGCTGAGAATGACAGAATTTTTTGTTTTTTATGGCCAAATAGTATTCCATTGGGTATACATGACACATTTTCTTTATCTGTTCATTTGCTGATAGACACATAGCTGGATTCCAAATCTTGGCTATTGTGAACAGTGCTGGAATGAGCATGGGGGTGCAGCTGTCACGGTATATGAACTTTCCTTGAATATACACCCAGTAGTGGGACTGCTGAATCATACGGCAGTTCTATTTTTAGGACTATTATTCAGGAACCTCCATACTGTTCTCCATAATGGCTGCACAAGTCTACATTCCCACTAACAGTGTTTAAATGTTTCTTCGTCTCTGCATTCTCATCACCATGTGTTATTTTGATAACTTTTTTCAGTTAGAATGACATAGAATCTATGTCATTCTCTTTAGAATGAACAATCTTTCTACTCTTA